TTATGGCAGTCCTAAGACAAACCTATCATGGGTTCTGTTTGCCAAGATTTGTTCCAAGGGGGTTTGCTTTGGCTTTCTGCTGAGGCTGAGAGAGTGTAGCTCACCCAAGGTTGGCCAGTGGGATTCCATGGCTGAGCAGAGAGTTGAACCCTGGTCTGCAGAGTTGTTGTCCAATGCTCACTATACCATGCTCTCTCTCCTATGGCTACAGCCACACTGCAGAATTAATGCAGTTTGACACCACTTTAACTGCCATGGTTCCATCTTATGGAATCCTGGGATTTGTAGTTTGCTGGGGTACCAGACCTCTTGGACAGAGAAGGCTAAAGAGCTCACCAAAGTACAAATCCTTGAATTCCATAGCATGGAGCCATGGCAGTTAAAGCAGCGTCAAACTGCGTTAATTCTGTAGTGTAGATGCAGCCTGTGTCTATAAAGCTTTTCACACTGAATTAGGAATAGTATCTCTTTTTTACTCAAAAGCTCAGAGGTGTTTTGCCATGGCTTTCCCCTGAGGCTGAGAGAGTGGGACTTGCCTAAGGTCACCCGATGACAGCTGAGCAGGGATTCGAACCCTGGTCTCCAGAGTTGTAATCCAATACGCAAACCATTATGCCATGCGATAGATTTTACTAACAGTTCAGCTCATTGCATAATGAATAATATGCATTGACTTTCTTGTCATGGTGATTTGGCTTACGCAACTATTTTGTGTGTGGAATGTGTTGTCTCTTAAATGGATGTGTGGTTTTGGAAGCTTTGCGGCATGCTTTCTAAGTATGCTTTAAATTGGGTAGCATCTTTTTCCTTATCTATGGAAACCTTCTCCGGCAAGAAACCGTGTTTGGAGTGACCGATGCCCAAGACTTTCCAGTCCCCCCTCTGTGGAAACCCCTGGAAGTACCTTTCTGGATTTGTAGGGTGCAAATGGGAAATAGATTTCTAATCCTGCTTGGTTTTCATAGAATCCTAGAGATGGAAGGGATCCCCATGGGGTCATCCAATCCAACCCCCTTCTGCCATGTAGGAAGGCACAGAATCAAAGCACCCGCAACAGGCGGGCATCTGTTTAAAAACCTCCAAAGAATTGACTCCAGCACTCTTCTGTGTTTGCAACACAAATTCCCAGCAGGGCAATAGCTTGCTCAGGAGACGCTGTTGGCTTCCAAGTCAGGCGTTCGGTGATTCCATTCCAGGATTTAAGGATTCAAAGGAGCTCAAAACTGGTCCGTTTGGTAGATTTAGCACCTTGGAGAGCACTGATGGAAATCCAGAGGAACTTCATTCCCACTCTGACATGGAAGCCACCACAGATACTATTGTGAGTGATCTTGGATTGCAACGTCTGTAGGACTAGAAGCATTGCGATCTACTGTATTTGGTTTGCAAGGAGACCTGTTCTTACTCAAGATCATGGAATCCTAAAGTTGGAAGGGATCCCAAAGGGTCATCCAATCCAACCCCATTCCGCCGTACAGGAAGACATAAAGCACTCTCGACAGATAGCCATCCAGGCTCTGTTTAAGAACTTCCAAAGATGAAAACTGCTAGAAGTAGTTGGTTATTGCCTGCTTTTAAAAGTTCTTTCTTGAGTAGGGGATGTCATGCTCTCATCATCATCATCATCACCTTTATTTATAATGCCCTTTCCACCAAAAGGCAGTACACCAGAATATATACAATAAAAATGATAAACACCACACCATAAAATTCTCTCATGGGAACTTTTGCACAATTACAGTGCTATGATTCCACTTTAACTGCTGTAGTGCTGTCCTATGGAATCCTGGGATTTGCAGCTTGTGCATGAGGCATATGTGCCTTCAAGTTGGTCGTCGACTTATGGCGACCCCGTGAATTTCGTAGAGTTTTCTTAGGCAAGGAAGACTCAGGGGTGGTTTTGCTAGTTACTTCCTCTAAAACAGAGCCTACAGCACCTGGGATTGGTTGGTGGCCTCCCATCCAGGTTCCAACCAGGGCTGGCCCTGCTTCGCTTCCAAGATCGGTAGGGATCTCATGCCTTCAGGACATTTAAGGGGTGATTAGAGCTAGTGTAGTGGTTTGAGTGTTGGACTGCAACTCTGGAGACCAGAGTTCGAATCCCTGCTTGGCCATGAAACTCACTGGTTGACCTTGGGCAAGTCACACTCTCTCAGCCTCAGAGGATGGCAATGACAAACCCCCTCTGATGAAACCTGTCAAGAAGACCCCATGATAGGGTCACCATAAGTTGGAAATGACTTGAAGTCAGCTCAGAGAGCTCTCATGCCTCTGCAAACTATAAATCCCAAGGTTCTCTAGCATGCAGCTGTGGCCACTGAAGTGGAATCATAGCACTATAATTCTGGAGTGGGAAAGGTCTCAGGATGAGGGTCTGCACTTCAAAAAAAAACAAACCCTCTTACACCTGTGGCTTGAATTTGATGCCTTGTTCATCCTTCCCATATCCCTGGGTGTTATTAGATATGATCTGAAGGTTGCTTTGATGTTGCAAAGGCACATACAGATGAAAACAAAAAAATGGGAATATTGGTGGAAGAAAGGGTTGCATTATAGAAGGAGAGTTTCTACCACAGCGAAAAAGTGAAGGGAGGAAGGTGAGTAATTGTATACAAAGGCACTTACTCATTTGAGCGCTAATGGAAGCCATGTGGAAGGAGAGCTAAGCGGTTCCATGTTTCAGAAGCTCATGGCAGGAAATATTTGGTCGCCGGCTCCCTTATTCCCCAACGATGGAAAATGTTAAATCAGGACTTGGGGTCTTCTCCCTCGAAAGAAGGACCCCGGTAGTAGAAGCAGCGGCGGCAGCTTCTGTGCCAATAGGACTAGGCTGTGGATCCACTTTGGCTTCTAGTCCGAATTTTAAAGGTGCCA